TTTCCCAACCTAAGATTATTTAAACATGTATATGTATTTTCTTGTCATAGTTTCATTTTTTCATTTATAACTTTAATGCATCTGGAATTTGTGAATAGTGTGAGGTAGGCACCTAATTTTAAGTTTTCCTATATGGTTAGCAAGTTGTACCACCAGACATCATTTTCTAATGATTTGGAACCAATAGCATTAGCTTCTGCTACTTTTTATATATACTTGGGACTGTTTAGGAGCTTTCTTTTCTGCACTAATCTGTCTTTTCTTCAGCTGCTAGCATACTGTTAAATTTCTTGCCCTTTTATGATACAATTTAATATTTGTTAGGATGAGTTTATATTATCACTCGTTTTAAAGCATGCCTAGTTATTATCATACATGTATTATTCTAGTTTAGCCTTATTTGTTAAAATGACATATTTATTTTGTGTAATGTGTATTGCTATGTTATCAAAAATGTTAAATTCTGCCTTAGAGAACAATAGAAACAAGCAGCTGTGTAACATATTATAGATAAAGTTAGTAAAGCATGTATGGGCTGAACATAGATGGGAAGGACAGAAGGACCAAGGAAGCACTAAATATTCATGAGGTCTGAGACGTCAAATATGTGTGACAGCTATAGCAGAGCTACAATGTGAGAGCCACCTTGGTGATGACTGAGCAGAGAGCAAGAAGGTCTGGGTCTCTGGAGTCCTAGAATTGCTGCTACACCAGCCTGGTCTGCTCCCTCCAACTTAGGCGAGAGTGGAAGACACTTCTATTTTGTTTAAGCCATGATTACATGAAACGAACATACCCTCACTGATATCACCCCTAATTTCATTTTTGTTTTTGGTTGTCTGGCTTAGGATTTGCAGAACAGTGTTAATAACACTGATGGGAATGGATATCCTTCTTGTTACTTATGTGAATGGAATGGCTCATTAAGCATCCCACTGGCTTTGATTTTACATAGAGTACATTTGTCACTTTAGGAAAATATTCTTCTCTCGATGTTGATGATGATGATGATGGAATGTTGAATTTTCTCAAGTGATTTTTGTCACCTATCAAAAAAATTATGTGGTATTTCTGCTTTGCTATATTGATATGATGAATTAGACTAATACATTTTTCTAAAGTTGAAACATATATGCCACTTCAATTTTTTTCTCTATCTCCTCTGTTCTCTTCTTCTATATGTAGAAGCTCTATTGCAGCTCTTGGCTCTCCAACTTTTCTTTCACCATTTTTATCTCTTTAACCATTTCCTTTGAGTTCTGGGAGAATTGTTCATGTTTGCCTTCTGATTTCTTGCTCCTTAAAGTGTGGTCCAGGGACCAGTGCATCACCTGAGAATTTCTTAGAAATGCAAATTCTTGGGCCCCATCCCAGACCTACTGAATCAGAATCTGCATTTTAACAAGACTCTTAAGTGATTTGTGTGCACGCTAAAATTTGAGATGTGCTGTAAGATCGCCCTTTCCAAGTTTCAGACTTTCCCCACTTATTACAGTAGTTTGATGATTTTAGTGTAAATTTGAAAGGAGAAATTCAGTGTGAGGCTTTGGGTCACTATTTGGGACCAGAATCCACAGGCTCTTTGTGACAAGATGTGGGGAAGGGCGGTCAGCTACTGTGTGTGATGACATGAAATGAAAATGACATCCCAAAGGTCATCAAAATCACCACCAGGCATCATTAACCCAACAAGAAAGGATCCTTGTGTTGCATTTCTGAAGGGCAGTGTGTATCCCCTAGAGGGCTTTGCCCACACAGTTCTTTGACAAATTGATAAATGCCAAGTCGTATCCACATGAAAATCTCTTGCCCCGAGCTTATAGAAGAGGAAAGGAGGGGTTCCAAGAGACTGGTTTGGTGTCAGGCATGAATTTCCCTCTTTTCTTGGTGAGTAGAAGAAATTTCTACGGTCACTGATGTGCTTCAGGACCCCAGCATTGTGCCTGAGAGCTGCCTTGGAGGAGGTGGAGTATTCACAGACCTGAATTATATGAGTATTAGCATGTGGAAAGATTTCCCTTAATTTTTTTTTAGGAAAAAATTAATTGAATAATACCCAGTTCTCATCAGTCATGGCAGGATGGGCAGGAAAAGTCTTGGTAAGGCACAAAAAGCTATTGAAATGATTCTAAAGAACAAGAATCTTTAGGACAAATTGGCTCATTCTTTATTGCTGTCAAACCCTTTATTCCCTGGAGATGGTTGAAACAATACCAGTACATAACTCTCATTGTGGAATTAACAAACATCCTAGTTTTCTTAATGGTTTCATGAAGTTATTGTCTCAACAGGAAATTCTGGGCATTGTCACACATTCTTCTTGTTTATTAGTAGTAATAATAACTCTTTGCATCATAAATGGGCTCTAACCTTATAAGGCTTTTCCCCACAAAGTAGGTCATTTGGTCTTTCCTGAGAATCCCATGAGACAGCAGGGTGAGTAGGCGTTAATGTGCCTATTTCGTAAAAGAGGGAACTAAGGGTCCAAGGAATTAAAAAACTTTCTTAAAGGCATGATATACAGTAAATGGCAAACTCAGGCCTCAGACTCCTGTTTTCTGGCTTCAGGGGAGATCTCTAAAGCACATATGGCCAAGTGTCTTTCATCCTTAAGCTTCCCCGTCTACTCAGTGATTTCTGCTTCTCTGCAGTGCCTGTACATATACGAAACATTGAGAACAATCTCCGTCCATGTGTAAAGTTCACTCTCTGCAGTTTTATGTTGAAATGCAATGTGTAACTTTAGTGAGGTTACAATCTTCAGATTAGATTCACATGGTCAGACATCTCTGGTTCTCTGTACACTGTTTAGATTTCCCCCACTTATGGCAGACCTTTGTTAAACTTCTGCTAAAGATCCACTCCAGTCCCAAAGAAGGTGAGATTCATTACAAATCAACAGGAACTGTTTATAAGTTATTTTTTTATTCCCTAAATTTGATTCATCTCAACTGATGGGAAGAGTAAAGTCATCTTATTTCTGCTCTTCTATAAACTATGCTTCTATTCCTCATCTTTCCATTAAAGAACTTACCAAATTTCCCTTATGTTCCATTTATTCTCCCTTCATATGTTCTCTTTGCCTAGAATACCCTTCCCTTCTTCACTTCACCACATTCACCGTTCTTATCCTTAAAGGGACCCAGCTCAAAAGCTATTCCTTTGTGAAGCCTTTTCAAACCCAAAGTTAGACATACGTGCTTCTAAAAGCAATTTGAATGTATCTCTGCCATACCACGGACCTATCACAGTCTGAAATGTACTTAATTTAACTCCATATATACTGGAATTTCCACTAGATTTGAAGCCACTTTGGGGGCAGGAGTGACATCTTATTCCTCTTATATCCTCTGAATTTGGAACCTGACAACTGACAGGGATTCACTAAGGGTTGATCCATTTTCCTCCACCTGCTGGCTTTAGTGCACTGGGAATTCTTTTTGACCAGCTATCACTTTAGTTTTTACAGTCTAGGTGACAGGAAGGTCTTGAAGGAGGACTACTCAAACTGAGCAAGAATGAGCTATAATAGCTGATCCTTTTAAAGGACAGGAGGTACACTAAACTTGATTAATCTTGGGTTCTGTTCCTTTATGTCTCCCAGGTTAGAGCCATTTTAGTGTAGAGTTCTTTTCATCAACATCCTTCATGATTTTGTCCAGGACCAGTCCACCTTGAGGGGTTCGGCATTTTCTTTGGTACTAGGGCATTTTTTCCAACTCCTTCACAATTAGGGAATTAATACTCAGTAGTTCTCAACCTTGGCTGTACATTTTAATCACTTAGAGAGCTTTAAAAAACACTGATGTGAAATGTTCATGGAATTCCCTTAAGTCTTTTGCTGAGTACTAAGCTGTACATGCACAGAGTGAGACTCTGAGAGACTTGGCAGGAAACGGCTACTGGAGGGCTACGAGGTCAACAGAGATTTTGGTAGTCTCACAGCACTGACAGATACTGGATTTCTGACTAGCCATATTAGAGAGACATCACCAAATACTCTGGACATTCAGTTGAGACCCCAGAAAGGCTGTGCCTTTCTGTCTTTAAAATAAAGGCAACTGCCTGCCAGAAAAAAAAAAAAAGAGACTCTTTAAAAGGAGATAATCTAGACTCTCAACATCATATCCACAATGTCCAGAAAACAAACAAAAATTACTGGAAACATGAAGAAGCTGGGAAACGTGCACAAAACTAGAAGAAAGAACAGTTAGCAAAAACAGGTTCAGAGGTGATAAGATGATGGAATTAATAGATAAGAACTTTAAAATAGCTATTATCAATATGTTCAGTAAAGGAAGAGATGGACATAATGAATGAACAGATGGGGGAATCTCTAACAGAGAAATGGAAACAAACAAGCAAAAAAACGGAATAGAAATTTTAGAACCAAAAAATGTAAGATCTGGGGACTTCCCTCATGGTGCAGTGGCTAAGAATCTGCCTGCCAATGCAGGGGACACGGGTTAGAGCCCTGTTCCAGGAAGATCCCACATGCCACAGAGCAACTAAGCCCGTGCGCCACTGAGCCCGCACTCTAGAGCCCATGAGCCACAACTTCTGAGCCCGTGTGCCACAACTACTGAAGCCCGTGTGCCTAGAGCCCATGCTCCGCAACAAGAGAAGCCACCGCAATAAGAAGCCTGCACACTGCAATGAAGAGTAGCCCCCACTCACTGCAACTAGAGAAAACCTGCACGCAGCAATGAAGACCCAATGTGGCCATAAATTAATTAATTAATTAATTTAAATATACATATATATATATAAGATCTGAAATTTAAAGATTTGCTAGATTGGATAATAGCAAATTGGACACTGCAGAAGGAATAAAGAGCAATGGAAAAGGTAAATATATGGACACAGTGAAAGACTTTTTTCTCAGTACTTCAGCCACGTGATTGAGGTCATCATCAACTGTGAGAAGTCACATTAGTAGAATGTACCCTTGATACGATGTGATGAGAATGATACTTTATCTCTGTGGTCTTCTTCCTTAGAATTTATAACCCAAGTCTAATTGTGAGAAAAAACACCAGGCAAATCCCAACTGATGACATCCTATAAAATACCTAATACTCCTCAAAACTATCAAGGTCATCAAAAACAAGGAAAGTCTGAGAAACAGTCACAACCAAGAGGAGATTAAGAAGACATGATGACTAGATGTAATGTGGTATTGTGTGTGGAATCCTGGAACAGAAAAAGGACAGTGGATAAAAACCAAAGAAACCTGAATAAAGAGTAGACTTTAGTTAAGAATAAGGTACAAATAATGGTTTATTAAGTGTAGCAAGTGTACCATACTAATGTAAGTGTTAATAATAAGGGAAACTGGGTTCAGGATACGTAAGAGCTCTCTTTACTACCTTTACAATGTTTTCTGTAAATCTAAAACTGTTCTAAAATAAAAAGTTTATTGAAAAAACTAAACTGACAATAACAAGTGCCGACAAAGATATGGAACAACTGGAACTCTCATCCATTGCTGGTAGGGATGTAAAAATTGCATCGTTTGGAAAACAGTTTGGAAGTTTCTTATAAAGTTAAACCTCTACTTATGGTATAACTCAGCAATATCACTCCTGGGTATTTAACCAAGAGAACTAAAAACATATGTCCTCACAAAGACTTGCATGTGACTGTTTATAGAGGCTTTATTCAGAATTACCACAAACTAGAAGTGACCAAAATGTCTATCAACTGCTGAATGGAGAAATAAATTGTACACATCCATACAATAGAATACAACTAAGTAATGAAAAAGGAAAGGGCTACTGATACATACAAAACATGAATGAAAATCAAAAGCATTATGCAAGTGAAAGAAGTCAGTTCATAAAAGAGTACTATATCATTCAATGTATTCAATGTATGCAATTCCAGAACAAGAAAAACTAATCTAAGGTAGAAAAAAATCAGAACAATGTTTGCATCTTGAGCTCTGGGGAGTGGTTAGGAAGGGGCAGCTGGGAACTCTCTGAGGTGATAGAAATGTTCCGTATCTTGATAGAGGTGTAAGTCACATGGGTATACACATTTGTCAAAACACATTAAGAAAGCTACAGTCATCAAGACGGTATGGTACTGGCACAAAAACAGAAAGATAGATCAATGGAACAGGATAGAAAGCCCAGAGATAAACCCATGCACATATGGACACCTTATCTTTGATAAAGGTGGCAGTAATGTACAATGGAGAAAGGACAGCCTCTTCAATAAGTGGTGCTGGGAAAACTGGACAGGTACATGTAAAAGTATGAGATTAGATCACTCCCTAACACCATACACAAAAATAAGCTCAAAATGGATTAAAGACCTAAATGTAAGGCCAGAAACTATCAAACTCTTAGAGGAAAACATAGGCAGAACACTCTATGACATAAATCAAAGCAAGATCCTTTCTGACCCACCTCCTAGAGTAATGGAAATAAAAACAAAAATAAACAAATGGGACCTAATGAAACTTCAAAGCTTTTGCACAGCAAAGGAAACCATAAACAAGACCAAAAGACAACCCTCAGAATGGGAGAAAATATTTGCAAATGAAGCAACCGACAAAGGATTAATCTCCAAAATTTACAAGCAGCTCATGCAGCTCAATAACAAGAAAACAAACAACCCAATCCAAAAATGGGCAGAAGACCTAAATAGACATTTCTCCAAAGAAGATATACAGACTGCCAACAAACACATGAAAGAATGCTCAACATCATTAATCATTAGAGAAATGCAAATCAAAACTACAATGAGATATCATCTCACACCAGTCAGAATGGCCATCATCAAAAAATCTAGAAACAATAAATGCTGGAGAGGGTGTGGAGAAAAGGGAACCCTCTTGCACTGCTGGTGGGAATGTGAATTGGTTCAGCCACTATGGAGAACAGTATGGAGGTTCCTTAAAAAACTACAAATAGAACTACCATATGACCCAGCAATCCCACTACTGGGCATATACCCTGAGGAAACCAAAATTCAAAAAGAGTCATGTACCAAAATGTTCATTGCAGCTCTATTTACAATAGCCCGGAGATGGAAACAACCTAAGTGCCCATCATCGGATGAATGGATAAAGAAGATGTGGCACATATATACAATGGAATATTACTCAGCCATAAAAAGAAACGAAATTGAGCTATTTGTAATGAGGTGGATAGACCTAGAGTCTGTCATACAGAGTGAAGTAAGTCAGAAAGAAAAAGACAAATACCGTATGCTAACACATATATATGGAATTTAAGAAAAAAATGTCATGAAGAACCTAGGGGTAAAGCAGGAATAAAGACGCAGACCTCTTAGAGAACGGACTTGAGGTTATGGGGAGGGGGAAGGGTGAGCTGTGACAGGGCGAGAGAGAGTCATGGGCATATACACACTAACAAACGCAGTAAGGTAGATAGCTAGTGGGAAGTAGCCGCATGGCACAGGGATATTGGCTCGGTGCTTTGTGACAGCCTGGAGGGGTGGGATGGGGAGGGTGGGAGGGAGGGAGACGCAACAGGGAAGACATATGGGAACATATGTTTATGTATGACTGATTCACTTTGTTATAAAGCAGAAACTAACACACCATTGTAAAGCAATTATACCCCAATAAAGATGTTAAAAAAAAAAAAAAAACACATTAAGATAAGTAGTTAAGATCTATAAATTTCAGAGGTATGTAAAGTATATCTCATTAAAAAAAAAAAAAAGTAAAAGTGCTGATATCTATGTCCCACCCCCAGAGATCCTTATTTTGGTGGTTTCAAATGGAAGTTTTTGGGTTTTTAAAGTCTCCCTCAACCAAGGTTAAAAACTTTGATTATAGGTACTTGTCTAATGATAGGATCCTTCAGCATTCCTGTTTGCCATGTAGATTTCTCTCTCTGACTTTGATGTGTAGATCATGGACACTAAGTGTATGGATTTACATGCTTACCTGATGGTCGGGTCCACCTGGGGATGGCTAATTGGCAAGCATCAGGATGCCAAAAGGCCCAAGAAGAAGATAGGATCAGGATAGAGTTTCCTGAAAGCCCCCCCAGCTCTTCTCTTTCTGCCTCTTCTGAGAATGGTCCTGCTTATTCAGGGAGTGGATTGTTACGCTGATGGGAGAGGTAAACTGGAAGGGGACCAGTGGAGGTATCATTATGGGGCAGGGGGAATTCTTATTCCATAACAATTTTGGAAAATTTTCTGTCTTCAGTTAGCTGGTTTCACATACACAACAAGGTCCCACTGGATTCTGTAATCCTGACCTTCATCCTGATTTTGTCCTCTTGGTAACTTCGGACAGACTATAAAAAGAGAGAGAGCAGGACATGCCCATGTGTTGAGCACATGCCCTGTAATCTGCTGGAACTTTGCTTCTTCTTTCCACTTTGGGGTTAACACTGTAACTATATAACTTTCCTATTAGCTATTTTTCTTCTTTTGAAGCTGACGGGCAACCCACTAACATTTTTAGGGCAAAAAAGCTTCTCTTAAAACTATCCAACATTAATAAAACTGTATAATAAAAGCTGAAATGATAAATCCTAACAGTTATTCCATGGATGCTCTTTGTCTGATATGTATTTCAGAACACATGGCCAAAGTTTCTGAGAGGTCTCACTAATAACTAGAACTTTGACTAACAATTTCCTCTAGGGTGCACCAACAAATAAACACATAGACTTAGACACTCACAATTGAAAGGAATTTTTCAGGTCACTAGCCCAGCCCTCTCATATAGTGCCTGAAGAGCTGCTAAGTGGTACCCAGTCTCTGCTTGCACATGTCCCCGAACAGGGAGACTTATAAGACAATCAACATACCTGTGAGCAGTTCCAACAGCAAGTTTTTCCTGGTGTGAAGCCACACCTGCTTCTCTGTAACTTTTGGCCACGGAGAACATTGGATCGCTTTTTCTGTTTGCTCTCCATGAGCCTTTTCTGCAACAAGTTAAATATCTCCAATTGCTTAAAACATCCCTCCTATGCTTTGAATTTGTCTGCACTCACCAGCTCGCTTTCCCTTTCCCTCATGAGTCCTGGTCTATTTCCATTCATATCCAACACAATTCATCTGAAACAATGTCACTTGAGTGCCGTCTCAGTGCCAGGCGCTAGGCTTTGTGCTGTGGGGTAGACAGGAGCAAGTCAACCTTGGCCTTGTAAGACAGAGAAGGCTTGTCTGCAAAGGCCCTAGAAAACAGGCTGTGATAAGGGGCAGCAGAGAGGGACAAGTATCCTGTTTTCCCCCCAAATCCTCAGGCTCTCATCTTTTCATAAATTTATTTATTTATTTTTGGCTGCATTGGGTCTTCATTGCTGCATGCTGGCTTTCTCTCTAGTTGCGGCAAGCGGGGGCTACTCTTCACTGCGGTGCGCAGGCATCTTACTGCGGTGGCTTCTCTTGCTGTGGAGCACGGGCTCTAGGCGCACGGGCTTCAGTAGTTGTGGCACCTGGGCTCAGTAGATGTGGCTCGCAGGCTATAGAGCACAGCCTTAGTAGTTGTGGCGCACGGCCTTAGTTGCTCCGCAGCATGTGGGATCTTCCTAGACAAGGGATTGAACCCGTGTCCCTTGTATTGGCAGGTGGATTCTCAACCACTGGGCCACCAGGGAAGTCCTCAGGCTCTCATCCTGCAGTGCAGCACGTTTGCTAAAATATATGACTGTGCAAGCTCAAGGCATGATTAGAGTAGGCTGCTCATCAAATGTTTGATGAATGCAAGTCACTTGACTAAGTCTCTGTGTTCCAAATTCCTGGGAGAGAGTGTGATTGGCCCAGCTTGGGTCAGAGGTCCTCCTGGCTCCATCACTTGTCTGCAGAAGGGGCTGCATCCACTGGTATGAAAAGCCACACTTTCTGGTCTAGGAACAAGGAAAGTTCCATGAAATATGGGCATTTTCTCGATTTTATAGCTGGAGAAACAGATTCAGAGAGGTGAAACGACTTTGCCAAAGTTACTACTTGTTAATGGCAAAATTGTGTTTGAATTCTGGGCTGCCAATTGACTCCCTGCATTTACTCAGCAATTCTTTCTGGAACTTGTTTAGTCATTCGCTTATCTATTCATGTATTCATTCAACTAGAACTTCTCTGGCACTAACCACGGGCATGATGTGAGGGCAGCATGGGATACAGCAATTAGTCACATAGATGTGCCAGAGGGACACCCGTCAAGAGCATAAAAGAGAATTCCTGCCCTGCTCAAACACACGGTTTTACTGGAGAAAGGAAACATGTGGACACCACAAATTCAGGCATTTTTGCATGAAATGACTCCAGGAGTGACTGATATTTCAAGGCCTAGAAGATGTCAGAGCAAAGAGATCTCTGAGGACCAGGGTGGTTGAAGAAGCCTCCTATAGAGGCGGAACTCTGAGTAGGTGCCTGCGGATAAAGAGAGAAAGAAGGAAGAATCCCAGTAGGCAAAGAGCTGTGCTGATTCTGCCTCTGAGTATTGCTCATTTGTATCCACTTCTCTCCATTCCCCACTGTGCCCTCCCCTGGTCCGAGTCACCAGCTTCCCTTACCTGGACACAGCAAAAGCCTCCCTACCTGGACACAGCAAAAGCCTCCCCAGCAGATCTGCCTCCCCCTTGCCTTGTTGTCCACGAATCCATTTTAAAATTCAATTGCCAAAAACTTCAAACATATCAAAAGTATAGCAAACAATGCAAAAGTCACAAGATACCCACCCTTTTGACTCAGTAGGTATTAACATTTCACTATATTTGCTTCAATTCTGTCTTGTATAGAAATATAAGATGATAATTTCAGCTAAATTCCTACCCTACCCCTTAACCCTCCGTCCACAGAGTAAATATTATCCTAATTTTGTGTGATGAATTCCCACTGTATTTTTATATCTTTTCTACTGATGATCCACAAACCACAAAGTATTAGGTTCATATCCTTTTGCAAGTTGCCTTTTTCCCCCACTGCTCATTATATTTTCAGATTTGTCCTGATACATGGAGATCCGGTTCATTCATTTAACCATCGAGTAGTATTCCAATGTATAAGCAAATTGCACTTTACCAAGTTGTCCGTCTACAGATGCCTGGATAGGTCATT